CTGTGTCAGAGCAAACAGAAGGGCTGTTGTGATGCAGAAAAAAGAGAAGGAACATCCCAGCAACCACATCCCAAGAATAAGAACAAAATTAAGAGGAAAAAGAAGAGAAATTTAAGAAAGAAATAGTATTCAAAGCAAAGAGCCTGAAAGAAAATACAACTCAGAAGGAAACATTTCTTGCAAATGTTTCACGCTTTTTATTAACAAACATGTGAATTCAATGAAAAAAAGTTCAGAGGAAATGATAAAAAAGAACAGAATAAGACAGGCACATTATGTGCTCAGGAAATAAATCGATAGACAAAATAAACAGAAGTAATAAATTAGAAATAGCAAGGTACAAAATATACATTGGAGAATCAAATTACTGACATAAAGGAAAGATTTAAGTGAAAGCACATATAAGTCTAAGGCATTAAAAAATAGAGATAAGATAATAAATGGAAAAGATCTGTGAAATATACAATTGTGTCCATGAAGCAGAGAATCTAAAAAAATAAAGCAGGATATACTCAAAGAGAGAATACCAAAAATCTCCCTGAAAGGAAAGAACCCACACAACAAAAAAGGAAACTATTCCAGGAAAATCAGATAGAGAACCATAGACACCGAGACAAGAACTATGCTAATTAAGTTATTATGACTCAAGACTGAAGAAGGAATACTTCAGGCATTCAGGCAAAAGTCAGTCATTTTTAGGAGAGACAAAATGAAGTGTTCTTAACATGTCTCCATGGTATCATTAAATACCAGAAGAATGTCTACAAAGTCCCAAGGAAAGAAAGTGTGTCCCGAGAATTTTAAGCCCAGCCAAGCAATCCTTACACTATAAAGATAGCAAGTAGATATTCTAGTCTCAAGCACTTATGAGCCTTCTTGAAAAACTTTCTTGACCTTGAAATACAGCCAACTCAGAACTCAGGAATAGAGAAGCTACTGCAAGAGGGCTGTGGAGAAATGCACTAAATCCACTCAAATACAGAACTGGAACTATAGGAACCATAGTTTCAAGACAGACTGTAGAAGTTGCAAACCCTGACAAGGTAGAAATAACAGATAGCTGACAAAAATTAGAAGATGGGACATGGAAGAGGGAGATAGTATAACTGGGCTGATTTCCTTTTCCTACTACAGTTTTTCAATCAATCCAGTCTAACATTAAAATACATAGTAAAAACTATATGACGATTCTAACCATTTTTTGCTTTGCAAAATCACTTTGTTAACTTCAGAGGAATTTCTTAGGAATTAATATCTTTTACAGTGAAGAGCTATTTTCCTAAAGTATAGTAATTTCTTTTTTTTTTTTTAAAAGATGACCGGTAAGGGGATCTCAACCCTTGACTTGGTGTTGTCAGCACCACGCTCAGCCAGTGAGCGAACCGGCCATCCCTATATGGGATCCGAACCCGGGGCCTTGGTGTTATCAGCACCGCACTCTACCGAGTGAGCCACGGGCCGGCCCATAGTAATTTCTTTTGTTATACTTCAGATTCTCTTCTATAAATTAAAAAAATGTAATATTTAGTTCTTTAATTTAAAATAGAATGCATAACATATCTCATGTTGCATAAAATTATTGCTAAATAGAGAACTATTCTTTTATCTGCCTATATGCAAAGAAGTATGCCTGAAATGGTATTCAACTGATATTAATAATGGATAATTCTGGGAATTGGAACCTGGAATGATTTTTTAAATAATTTATTCCCTGTACTGTTCTATATTGCTTAAACATCTTATAATAGCCAAGTATCACTTTCAATAATGGATAATTCTGGGAATTGGAACCTGGAATGATTTTTTAAATAATTTATTCCCTGTAATGTTCTATATTGCTTAAACATCTTATAATAGCCAAGTATCACTTTTACAAAGTAAAAAGTCATGTTTAAATTGTAAAAGCCAAAAACAATCTTTCATTGAATTTTTAAACTAAATATAAAACATAAGGTAATTACTATATACAGAAATTTACAAAACAGAGAAAAAGAAAATAAAAGTTACTCATAGGGTCATCTTCAGTGTCAACTACAGTTAACAGTTTCCAATCTTGGGATGAAAAGAACTTTATAAAGAAGACAACTTCGATTATTTAATAAACGGACCCTTATATTTTCTCCCAGTAATTTTATGGTCATATTTGTTGCATTTAAATATTTAATTGACTGGAGTTTACTTTGGTTTTGGGTGTGAAATAAGAATTAAATTTTTTATGTTTGGTTGGTTGGCCTAACACCATGCTCTGAATAATCCCTTCTTTGCTGACTGGAAATGTCACCTTTACTACTTTTTATAGAGAATTAAGTACCCTCAGGTATTTACCCTCTCACAGCCCATTGTTTCAGAGACCTCAACACACTCAGAAACTCCTGGCTACAGAGTAAACTCCCCAGTTAGCCCTCTGCTCAAATGTCCTCTGCTCTGAGGAGTCTCTTTTTGTGTCCCTCTGTCCCTTGTCTATGTCTCTGTTGTGGCATGTGGTTTTGTAGATTCTACTTTCCATGAAGGTAGGTACTGCACCTCAAATCTGTCTTCTTATCCCGGGCATCTGGAAAGAGTGCCTGGCACACATAATAAGCTCTCAAAGCATCCTGTCCAAGGAACAAGTCCTTCTCCACCCCTCCCTTCCTAACACATGCAGCAATGGATATCTGCACAGTGAAGATCAAGAAAAAAAATGCCTTAGGACTTCTGTGTTTTTTGTAAACATTAACAGGATTACACTTTATTTCACCATCTCCATTTTGGAGACTTGTATATCCTAATTTTACTTTTCTCAATATACCTCTCTTTTTGTTTTATTCCTATTATTACAATTCTCATGACATTAACATAGTTAAAATTCTCGTGACATTAAGGAAATAGCTGGTCAAACATACGCAAGAGAAATACCTCATGTCCTCACTCATAAGTGGGAGCTAAGAAACAAAGAACGAAAGACCATAATAAAAAGTTGATCTTTCAGAAGGAGAGAACAGACCTATAGTTACTAGAGGTGGGAAAGGTGGAGGGGGATAGGGAGTAATTGAGTAAGGGACACAAAAAGTAATTACGGTTTGTAATGATGCATGTACTAATAATATTGATTTGATCATCACATACTGTCCACAAATACTGATAGTCAACTCTGCACCCCATAAATATGTATAAATAATAAAATACATATATATATGTATATGTAAGAGAATCCTGCTATTCCAGGCCCTCTGAGTCCTACACTGAGCAGACAGACATTCCTTTACCCTAAGCACCACCTTACCAAGCTCAACACATTCCATGACTAGCTTTTGTGATGAATCACAGCTCAGGATCCTTGATCTGGCAAGTTATAGGCAGCTTCCCATCCAAAGGAACTTGCCATCACCTAGTCCTAGACCTGGGGACACAGCTGCTGAGAGTAATGATGTGACTTAATGTCTACTGCTCACTGTGTGCGTGTTCATTCATTCTCCGGGTGTACTGTTCAATCAACCAGTGGTACTTTGTTCTTCCAAAGAGGAGAGATATACAGAGAGAAACACCAAAGAAATGTTGAAAAAAGCCCAAACAACATAAATACTCAATTCAGTACTGGAGCCAGAGGGACACTGCAAACAGGTAAACAACTGTACACAAAGGTGTATTCTACAAGCTGGGAACAGAAGAACAGATCAGCCCACCTACTTTGGATTATATCATAGCTAAAGCAGAGCTCCAGCTAATGAAAAGTTAAAGAAGTAGGGAATATGAAAAAAGCTTGGGGAAATGCGAGCTGCTACACCTGCAGGAAAGGCAAGGGGGAGCTGTGGGAGCTGTCTTCAAACACGTGAAAGGTTATGATGTTTAAGAGGAAATGGGTTTGTTCAGTCTCTTCTCTAGAGGCTAGAACTAGACCCACTGGGCAGAAATGACAGGGAGGCAGAGTTCATCCAAACAATAGACAGCTTTCTGTCTAGAGCTGGTCAACAAAGCAGCAGCCTGACCTGTGAGGCAGATAGTTACCTGGTACACATGTGTCACCATGGCATATGTCAGGGGATGATACAGAGGGATTCTGAATTAAGGCAGGATTAGACCAGATTACTTCAAAGATCTCTTCTAAGACTATTTGATTCTGGTATTTCAAAACTTAATTATAAAGGGGTTACCCTTTAAATTAAAAAAAAAATGGACTGTGCTCAGAACCAGAATTTTGAGAGGTATCAACCCCACCCTTGTACTGATCGTTACTGCCTTTTAATAGCGTGAATTTAATGATAAAAGATTAAAAGTAAGCTTTATATTCCAAGATTTATAATTAGATAATATGACTTTCTATCTTCAAAATAAGTTGGCTAAATAAGTTAACTGGTTGACCTCAGCCAATATGGGAATGTTAGCCATAAGAGTTTATCAGACACAGCATTGCTACAATGCAGGTCTTAAAGACACATGGAAGCCACATTACTGCATCTGAAAAGTAAAACTCCACTTAGTCTTACCAAGTGGCTACAAAAATGAGTGCCTGAATTTTCTTGGCAGAGTTCTAAATTTAATCTCTGGGGAGATGTAGGTTAGAGTAAAAAACAGATTCTGATCCAACCCATTGCAGCTGCTGCTAGAGCAGGAGAGCGGATGAGGCCGGCCGCAGCTGAGCAGAGAAGCATGCTGCAGCACAAGTTCATGGTCAGCGCCGGCTCCTCCCCACTCCTCCAGGCTTGCAACGCCACTCGCTTGCCAAACCTGAGCCCAAACTCAAGTCAGAACTGAACACAATGGGCATGAGGTCATGTTTGCAGATCCCGATGAAAACCCAGTCCTGCTGAGCTTTCACTTCTGACAGTAAATCTGCTTATCCGAGAGTTTTCTGATTGCGTTAAGGAAAGGCAAATATCATGATAAACTTTATGTGAAGGAAACAGAGTTGAACAACAAGAGAAAAAGGCCTTTGTACTCGGAAAGGGAAATGAAGGAGATGATAGAAAATATCAGTATTCGGACACACACCCAGGAAGATAAACACGTGCAAACCAACCAACCTGAAATTCTGCATGAACTGCCGAAACTTGTCCACCCTCTTTGCTAGTGGCACGATAACGTTGATAAGCGTGTTGGCCATGTTGAGTTTTTCTTTTTTCACTTTCATGATAGGGCCAAACGGTCGAAACAAGACAAGTCGTTTGAACTCGTGTTTGTGGTCTCCTTTGAAGGTGAGCTCATACAAAGTGCCTTTATCCTTTTCTGTTCGGTAGATCCCTGTTACCAGAAAAACAAGGAGAGAGAGTTTTTAATTAACCCTGGCTGCTGAGTGTTTCGTAACTGAGATCTACCACAAAATGCCTTTTAAAAAATTAAGATTAAATCGCTACATGTAACAGTTACTAGAAAACTCAAAATGTTCCCTATTGAAAATACCAAAACAAATCAAAATACCATCAATTTGAAAATCTCGGTTATGAAGACTTAATAAAAACATGGAAAAAAAACTTGTAATGTTGGATACAAAACTGTGTTTATCCTGTACTGAGCATTTAAAAAAAGGACTGTTAGGAAATATGCCAAAATAAGACTAGCTATGATGTGATGACTTTTTTCTTTTCTGCTATTATTCAAATTCTCTGCAATATGATTAGGAGGCTATTAAAATTCTTATTTTACTGAATTAAAAAGTGTGTGTTACTTACACACATTTAAAAAAAGGACTGTTAGGAAATATGCCAAAATAAGACTAGCTATGATGTGATGACTTGTTTTTTCTTTTCTGCTATTATTCAAATTCTCTGCAATATGATTAGGAGGCTATTAAAATTCTTATTTTACTGAATTAAAAAGTGTGTGTTACTTACACAACTATTGATAGTCAACTTTGTATCCCACAAATATGTATAATCAATTATGCTTCAATAAAAAACAAATTGGGGGAAAAAAGTGTATGCTAAAATGATCTTTTAGAAATTGTAGCCATTTCAGATGAACTGACCTCAGTGATCTATTTGGGGCACCAGGAGTAGCTCAGGGCCAGTCACCTGGGTTATGTGGGCCCCTGGAAGCTTCTGGAAGCATTAAAACAGATAACAAAGTACCCAGTACGGTGGTGGGCACACACCATATTCAGTTTCATTTCTTCCTTCCAACCTCTAAGCAGCATGGCCAGACTCCCGGGTTCAAACGCTGGCCCCACAGGTTCACTTTGGGAAATTACTTAGCCTTTCTGTGCTTCATTTTCCCTACAAGTTACTGCGAGGAATACATGCTCAAAAATACGTAAAGAGGTTAGAACACTACATAGCACATAGAAAACTAAGCCCTCAATACACGTTAGCTTTCATCCCGACCCCCGTCTTGTGAGAAGGTGGGGAGGCAGGAGAGAAGTCTATTTATGTGCCCTTCACGATGCGCTCTACCCCGTGTCACTGCTGCTGAAACTCCA